AGGCGTGCGCTGTCAGTACCAGATCCAGACCGGTCCTCGCCGCGGTTTCGTTTGCGGTAAGATCGGTCATCCCACTACTCGCTGTTTTCGTCGCCTGGACGACCTGTTTCGTCAGCGCTTCGGCCCGTCGCCCGACCTCCCGGACTGGCACAGTTTGCTTAGTCGTAGGGTTCAGATTTTTTACATGGACATGGATGCCATTGTTTCTGCCCTGCATGTGATGTATGCTGATGACTTTAGTGTGCTTCCCGCTTATTACTCCTTGTCGTCCAGTGTAGGTTTGCCTAGCTTAGCCTCCCCTGCTGCGTCAGGCGTAAGAGCTCCTGCTTTGTTTAGTCTTGGTGCTTCCGCTGCTGCCCCGTCGCCGGATGCCGCTGCTTCGCTTTCCTTCACTTTGGACTCTGGCGCTTCCCGGTGTTTCTTCCGCGACTCCACTACGCTGACGCCGCTTCCTGTTCCTGCTGCAGTTTCTCTTGCTGACCCCTCCGGCGGTCCAGTCTTCGCCCGCAGTTCCACCACCCTTCCCTGTCCGGCGGTTCCTTCGGGCTTTCTCACAGGTCTGCATATCCCCTCGTTCTCCAGGAACCTAGTTGGTGTCGGCTGCCTCCAGGACCTTGGCGTCACCACTACGTTCCCAGGTCACGAGCGGTATGCTGTCTGTACCGAGGCCGCCGCTGGTGCCCCCCTTTCCACGTTCCCCCGGGACCCGATGTCCGGCCTGTTCACCCTAAACCCTGTGACCCCCCCGGCTGGGGCGCCCCTTCAGGTGGCTGCGTCTACCCAAATTGCTGCTACCTGCTCCTGTCGGTCCCTCACTCACCCGACTCTCCTTTGGCACCACCGCCTAGATCACCCTGCGCTCCCGCGTCTGCGTCACATGTCCCAGCACGGTCTCGTCCTTGGTCTCCCTGGTTCGTTCCCCGCGTTTCCCTCCTCCCCCCCCCCGCCTTGCACGCCTTGCGTCGAGGGTCGGCTTCGCCGTGCCCCTCACTCCTCCTCGTTTCCCCCTACCGCCGCGCCGCTGCAGACCCTGCACATGGACGTCTGGGGCCCCGCCCCCGTCCATGGATCGCGTCGAGAGCGCTACTTCCTCGTGCTTGTCGACGACTTCACTCGCTACAACACAGTCTTTCCCCTGGAGCGAAAGGCCGACGTACCTGACGCTCTCATCCCCTGGCTTGTCTCTGCGCGTGTCCACCGAGGTCTCCCTGTCTTGCGTCTTCACTCCGACCGTGGTGGCGAGTTTGCCTCAGGTGTCCTTGGTCGCTTCTGTCGTGCGGAGGGCATCACCCAGACGTTCACCCTGCCGGACTCCCCACAGCACAATGGGGTCGCTGAGCGACGCATCGGTTTGGTCATGGAGGTGGCTCGTACCTCCATGATCCATGCCAGTGCACCCCATTTTCTGTGGCCGTTCGCCGTGCGCTACGCTGCTCACCAGCTTAAACTGTGGCCGCACCCCCAGCGGCCGCAGGTTTCGCCGACCCGTCTTTGGACCGGGTCTCCCGGTGACGCGTTTGCGTTCCATGTCTGGGGCTACCTTGCTCACGTTCGTGCCTCCGGCACGGACAAGCTCACTGCCCGCACCCTTCCCTGCGTCTTCCTAGGTTTTCCCCTTGACGCTTCCGACTGGCACTTCTACCATCCGCCGTCTCACCGCTTCTTTCACTCTCGCGACGTCACCTTTGACCAGTCCGTCTCCTTCTACCGTCGCTTCCCCCACCACGGTCTAGCCACGTAGCGCACCTTGAACACAGGCGGCTCTCCAGGAGGGTGCTTCACCTTGAAGAGCCAGCGGCCATCGACTACGTTCACCCCAGGCGGGGGAACTGCGTCGACGAAGGTGCCGGTGGATCTCCAAGATGCCATCTCCTGCTCCATGGCAGCAATCCACTGAGAGGCCCAAGGTCCCGAGGTCGCCTCAGCGTAAGTGCGAGGGGTCGGGATGTCGAAAGCGTCTGGGTCACCCTCAGGGACTAGCAGCATGGAACAGAGATGGGGAGCAGCCTCGGACAGGAAAGCAAGCTCGAACTGGCGGTCCTCCAGGACGTCACTGCCAAGGGCAGGAGCACCCCCGACAGACGGAGGACAGGCAGGGTCAGAGACCAGAGCGGTGGCGTAGTCAAGGCGGCGGGTAGAGGCGAAGTCAGCGACCGCAGCAACAAGAGCGTCAAGGCACGAGACCGGAACAGACGGGTCGGTAACGAGAGAGGCAAGGACCCGAGGAACAAGAGGACGCGCGGCATGAAGGTAGTCAGACAGCGGGGGGGGGTGCAACAACAAGGGAGGACGGAGGAGGCGACGGGAGAAGGGGAGGACGAGACGCGTGGGAACGAAGCAACATAGGGTGGGAGCGCAAGACAGGCGAGGCAGGACGAGCACGGGAGGGACGGTGAGACCAGACATGCGACGGAGGAGTCGGGTCAGGAGACAGGGGAGGGGACACAGGAGGGGAACGAGGAGGAAGACGGGCCGGGGACGAGTCCGGCGGAGGGAACACAGGGCCGTAGACAGGAAGAGGAGGAGACGGGCGGAGAGGAACAACCGCAGGGTCAGGGGACAGAAGGCCGAGCAGGCGAAGGGCTGACACTGGCGGGGACTGCTGCTGCGGCGGCACAACGGCGACACGGGGACTGCAAGCGGCTCCTCGGCTACCACCGGCACACTCCACAGTAGCACCCCCAGAGTCAACGAACGGGTGTTGCGACGGCGGCGGCAGCGACAACTACGGCTGCAGCGGCGGCGAAGGCGGTGGAGGAGGGGACTGGGGAGGGGACGCCGGGGGAGGGGCGGCCGGCAAGGACTGCGCAGCAGGGCCACCAGAGTCAGAAGACTCCTCAACCGGGTCCACCGACGGAAGGGGGGTGACGTGGGACACACCAGAGGGGGAAGGACGGGGAGGAGGAGGGGGGGGCAGGGACTACCGGGGAAGGAGTGACCAGGAACGGGGGGGGGGTAACCGGGGGACCGCGGTGGGGGAAGCGACGGTAGTAGGAGACGGACTCGTCAAAGGTGACGTCGCGAGAGTGAAAGAAGCGGTGAGACGGCGGGTGGTAAAAGTGCCAGTCGGACGCGTCAAGGGGAAAACCGAGGAAGACGCAGGGAAGGGTGCGGGCAGTGAGCTTGTCCATGCCGGAGGCACGGACGTGAGCAAGGCAGCCCCAGACGTGGAACGCAGACGCGTCACCAGGAGACCCAGTCCAAAGACGGGTCGGCGAAACCTGCGGCTGCTGAGGGTGCGGCCACAAGTTAAGCTGGTGAGAAGCGTAGCGCACAGCAAACGGCCACAGAAAATGGGGTGCACTGGCATGGATGATGGAGGTGCGAGCCACCTCCATGACCAAACCGATGCGTCGCTCAGCGACCCCATTCTGCTGTGGGGAGTCCGGTAGGGTGAACGTCTGGGTGATGCCCTCCGCACGACAAAAGCGACCAAGGACACCTGAGGCAAGTGCGATGGGGCCGGGCGGGTGCGACGGGGCCGGGCGGGCGCAACGGGGCCGGGCCGGGCGCAAAGTGGCCGGGCGGGTGCGACGGGGCCGGGCGGGTGCGACGGGGCCTGGCGGGTGCGACGGGGCCGGCCGGGCGCGACGAGACCGGGCAGGGGGGGCGACGGGGCCTGCAGGCGTGACGGGGCCCAGGAGGGGCGCTACGGGGCCTAGGAGGGGCGCTACAGGGCGAGGGGCGTAGCGGGGCCTGGGAGGGTCGCGACGGGGCTAGGGGGTCGCGACGGGGCCCAGGAGGGGCGCGGCAGGGCTAAGGGCACGACGGGGCCCAGGGGGGTCGCGACGGGGCTAGGGGGGTCGCGACGGGGCCCAGGGGGTCGCGACGGGGCTAGGGGGTCGCGACGGGGCCCAGGAGGGGCGCGGCAGGGCTAGGGGCACGACGGGGCCCAGGGGGATCGCGACGGAGCTAGGGGGTCGCGACGGGGCTAGGGGGTCGCGACGGGGCCCAGGAGGGGCGCCGCAGGGCTAGGGGCACGTCGGGGCCCAGGGGGGGGTCGCGACGGGGCTAGGCGAGGGGGCACGACGGGGCCCAGGGGGGAGGCGCGGCGGGGCCTAGCTAGGTGACAAGCGGAAGCGGTAGGTGGGGGATCCTAACCTACGCGTGATACCATATCGGAATGAGAGAAGTGATGAATTAGAGTGAGAGTACAGATGGATATACCTAAGTATTGTACCCTCTAAAAGGTGACCCTATACGGTCTATGTAAACATAACAGATACACATATTTGACAAGCTTGCCATAATGATATACACTCTAGGGTAGAAAATAAAACGCTTTATACAATAGAGGATACACGCACTACGTACGGTAACACCAGAGTGACGAATAGTAAGTGCATCATGTATAACTACCCATTAAACACACGGTACTTAAAACCACAGGCTAAAATAGCATAGGGGGGGCTTCAAGAGCGCCGTTCTTGAAGATGGTTCTTTTGAAAAAAAACGGGTTCCCAGTATGATTTTGCGAGGTGCGTTTTTTGGGCAGCTGAACAATGATACAATCGTAGTGTGGTACCGATTTGACGATTGTGCGACGAGGCGGGAAACGCGTGCGCGACTCATTTGACTTTTCGCCAGCTTGGTGAAACGAAAAAAACATATTGTACCTCGGATATATTCGGCGTTCGTGTTCAAGCTTCACATTACGAGGCACCCTCGACCGCGACTTGCGACTAGGGCAAAGGTGAACTGTGCAACTTGTGAGCCGAACAGCCACATGGGTTGCGCGAAATGCGACCTTGTTGAACCTCGGGTTAAAAACCTATTGCACACCTATGGAGCTCTTGAAAAAACTGAGCTGTGTGAGCGGTCAGTCGCAACTTCATCCGCCGAGCATCTGACGCCAAATCAATCGTCGCGCATCAATAACGTAGCAAAGCTACTTCGCATTACAGACAATTTCGGGTCCCATACCATTTCGGAAATAGAAAACGCACCCAAGGGTCTGCCCGTAAACGAAACATTTTTTCAAGAGCTCCTCAGGTGTGCTATTCTAGCATGTGGTTTTAATAATACCATACTATTGTCAACTTATACATATTAGCTATGTAGAAGTTATAGGCTAGACTAAAGTATGCTTCTAGTGAGTACAACCAACTAGTATTTGTTCTAGGTTTCCATCTCTAGTTATCATTCCTTCTCACGTTAACAACTATCACCGATTGGGCTTCATGTGGCCTGCCTGCTGCTCCCCAATGCAAGCATCGTACAGTAACACAAAAAGAAAGAGCCTGGTGGGCCAACTTAGTTTGAGCCTCCACGTCTTTTATTCGCTGGCCTTGCCTCCTCGTCTTTCAACGCTTCTCTGCCCACCTTTGCATCGTGTCATCCGAGTAGTTGAAAAGCCTCCTGTGCCTCACTATGTCATTCTCATACCCCCGGCCGCCCCCACAGTTCCACGACCCCGCTAGGAAGATGTCCGCATGGGCGCACACGAGCTTGTCGAGGATGGCCACGATGCCTGCAGGGAGCGGAGAGAGCGGGAGCAGCGTTAAGTGAGAGGGGTGAGACATGTCTGCATGCGCGCACACCAGCTTGTCGAGGATGGCCACGAGACCTGCAGGGAGCGGAGAGAGCGGGAGCAGCGTTAAGTGAGAGGGATGAGACATGTCTGCATGCGCACACACCAGCTTGTCGAGGATGGCCACGATGCCTGCAGGGAGCGGAGAGAGGGAGGAGCAAGAAGCGGGAGGAGAGATGGGGCAAGGGGGATGTCCGCATGGGCGCACACCAGTTTGTTTAGGATGGCCACGATGCCAGGGAGATGAAAGGCGGGAGCAGCGAGGGCGAGGGGAGTCAGGGGAAGGAGAGGCGAGGCCAGGGGAAGGAGAGGCGAGGCCAGGGGAAGGAGAGGCGAGGCCAGGGGGATGTGAGCTTGCCTGAGACAAGCCTGTCTAGACTTGCCACGATGCCTGGTGGGAGCGAGCGAGAGGAAGGAGAGGAAGGAGAGCAAGGCGAGGAAGGGGGTGGGGAAGGAGAGGAGTGCTGAGCACAGAATGCAAGGAGGATGGCCGCTTGAGGGCACACAAGCTTGTCTAGAATCCCCCTTCAAGGACGTGTGGCACTCCCCCCCACCTCGCACGTGCTGTTGCAAAGAGAGGCTTGGAGCTCTGTCCAGTCATCACTCCCCTGGGTCGAGCGCATTTCCCCTGGCATCATGACTGTGCCATTCCCGCTCGCCCTCACCGGGTGTAGTGTGGCCGGCGACGACTGGAGTCTGCAGCTGTCCCAGCCGTACCACTGTGAAATGCACATTCAAATGGAGGAGCAGTTTGAGTGGGAGAGCGAGAGTAGCTCTGCCCATTGCTCACCTGGGTCGAACGCGTTGACTTCAGGCATGAGCTCGTCGATCATCACAGTGCCAGTCACGTTCCTCCTCAACCGGTGCAAGGCAGCAGAGGATGACTGGAGCACGCGGCTGTCCCCGCCGTACCACTGCACCATCTCGCCCCACGAGTCCGACCGCGCGGGCGCCGTTGACTCGTTGAACGGCACATCCGCTGCTATGAACACGGATGGACCGGTGCTGCTGCTGTTGCTGCTGGTGGCACTGCTATTGCCACCAGTGCTGCTGGTGCTTGTGGCATTGCTGCTGCTGCTGTCAGCTGCGTGTGAATCAGCGGACCCAGGAGCAGCAGGGGAGGGGTGGGAGAGCGAGTCTCGGACGGTGGCGATGAGGCGCTCCGCCTCACCCACGCACCAGTCCAGCCGCTGCTGCACCATCGACGCGTTCGCATAGCCACCCTGACCTAGCATGTCCTCTTGCTGGGGCACAGTGGGAGAAGAGAGAAGGGAATCAAGACACACCATGGGGGCGAGTGAGAGAGGCCGGGGGGCGCATGAGAGAGGCCGGGAGGCGCATGAGAAAGGAGGCCGCTGCACCATGGGCGCTTCGACCTTACCGCCGTCATCTCATGCATGAGGTCCTCTTGCTGACGGAGGGGACAGCGGTGGAACAAAACGGGAGGGGGAGACTGGCAGTTTTGAGGGGGAGACTGGCAGTTTTGAGGGGGAGAATGGAAGTTTTGAGGGGGAGACTGGCAGTTTTGAGGGGGAAACTGGCAGTTTTGAGGCGCCTCAAAACTAAACGGGAGGGGGGAACTGGCAGTTTTGAGGCGCCTCAAAACTAAACGGGAGGGGGAGACTGGCAGTTTTGAGGCGCCTCAAAACTCAACGGGAGGGGGAGACTGGCAGTTTTGAGGCGCCTCAAAACTCAACGGGAGGGGGAGACTGGCAGTTTTGAGGCGCCTCAAAACTAAACGGGAGGGGGAGACTGGCAGTTTTGAGGCGCCTCAAAACTAAACGGGAGGGGGAAACTGGCAGTTTTGAGGTGCCTCAAAACTAAACGGGAGGGGGAAACTGGCAGTTTTGAGGTGCCTCAAAACGAAACGGCAGGGGGAAACTGGCAGTTTTGAGGCGCCTCAAAACTAAAAGGGAGGGGGAAACTGGCAGTTTTGAGGCGCCTCAAAACTAAAAGGGAGGGGGAAACTGGCAGTTTTGAGGCGCCTCAAAACTAAACGGGAGGGGGAGACTGGCAGTTTTGAGGCGCCTCAAAACTAAACGGGAGGGGGAGACTGGCAGTTTTGAGGCGCCTCAAAACTAAACGGGAGGGGGAAACTGGCAGTTTTGAGGTGCCTCAAAACTAAACGGGAGGGGGAAACTGGCAGTTTTGAGGTGCCTCAAAACGAAATGGCAGGGGGAAACTGGCAGTTTTGAGGCGCCTCAAAACTAAAAGGGAGGGGGAAACTGGCAGTTTTGAGGCGCCTCAAAACTAAAAGGGAGGGGGAAACTGGCAGTTTTGAGGCGCCTCAAAACTAAACGGGAGGGGGAGACTGGCAGTTTTGAGGCGCCTCAAAACTAAACGGGAGGGGGGAACTGGCAGTTTTGAGGTGCCTCAAAACTCAACGGGAGGGGGAGACTGGCAGTTTTGAGGCGCCTCAAAACTCAACGGGAGGGGGAGACTGGCAGTTTTGAGGCGCCTCAAAACTAAACGGGAGGGGGAGACTGGCAGTTTAGAGGCGCCTCAAAACTCAACGGGAGGGGGAGACTGGCAGTTTTGAGGCGCCTCAAAACTCAACGGGAGGGGGAGACTGGCAGTTTAGAGGCGCCTCAAAACTCAACGGGAGGGGAGACTGGCAGTTTTGAGGCGCCTCAAAACTCAACGGGAGGGGGAGACTGGCAGTTTTGAGGCGCCTCAAAACTAAACGGGAGGGGGGAACTGGCAGTTTTGAGGCGCCTCAAAACTAAACGGGAGGGGGAGACTGGCAGTTTTGAGGCGCCTCAAAACTAAACGGGGGGGGGAGACTGGCAGTTTTGAGGCGCCTCAAAACTAAACGGGAGGGGGGAAACTGGCAGGATATAAGGCTCGTTGGAACGAGTTGGTTGGCATTGCCCCCCTCATGCCTCATGCCCTCGAGCTGATGCCCCCATGCCCTCGTGCTGGTGCGTGATGGGAGAACAAGGGGAGGGGAGCGTGACGACAACCGGGTGATTTCTGAATCAACTCAAAGGTCCCTCCATGACGGGAGAAAAGGGGATGGCATCCCGACCATGATGAGGGAGCGGGCAGATGAGTACTCGTCCCCACTCCCCTCTACTCCCCCCCCCTCTCCCCCCCCTTCCCCCCCCCGTCCTCCGCCACTCACCACGCTGAACGCAATGAACTCGGACAAAAGTGCGCGGCAACAAGGGGCCGGGGGGAGCAGGTGAGCAGGCGGGAGGCCGTGGCGTGCAGGTCCTCCGTTCCATACCCCCTCCCCCCCCTCTCCGTGTCCTCTGTTCCATACCCCCGTACCATACCCCCTCCCCCCCCCTCTTCGTGTCCTCTGTTCCATACCCCCTCCCCCCCCTCTCCGTGTCCTCTGTTCCATACCCCCGTACCATACCCCCTCCCCCCCCTCTTCGTGTCCTCTGTTCCATACCCCCTCCCCCCCCTCTCCGTGTCCTCTGTTCCATACCCCCGTACCATACCCCCTCCCCCCCCTCTTCGTGTCCTCTGTTCCATACCCCCTCCCCCCCCCTCTCCGTGTCCTCTGTTCCATACCCCCGTACCATACCCCCTCCCCCCCCCTCTCCGTGTCCTCCGTTCCATACCCCCTCCCCCCCCCTCTCCGTGTCCTCTGTTCCATACCCCCTCCCCCCCCTCTTCGTGTCCTCTGTTCCATACCCCCTCCCCCCCCCTCTCCGTGTCCTCTGTTCCATACCCCCTCCCCCCCCCTCTCCGTGTCCTCTGTTCCATACCTCCGTACCATACCCCCTCCCCCCCCCTCTCCGTGTCCTCTGTTCCATACCCCCGTACCATACCCCCTCCCCCCCCCTCTTCGTGTCCTCTGTTCCATACCCCCTCCCCTCCCCCTCTCCGTGTCCTCTGTTCCATACCCCCGTACCATACCCCCTCCCCCCCCCTCTCCGTGTCCTCTGTTCCATACCCCCTCCCCCCCCCTCTTCGTGTCCTCTGTTCCATACCCCCTCCCCCCCCTCTCCGTGTCCTCTGTTCCATACCCCCGTACCATACCCCCTCCCCCCCCTCTCCGTGTCCTCTGTTCCATACCCCCTCCCCCCCCCTCTCCGTGTCCTCTGTTCCATACCCCCTCCCCCCCCCTCTCCGTGTCCTCTGTTCCATACCCCCTCCCCCCCCCTCTCCGTGTCCTCTGTTCCATACCCCCGTACCATACCCCCTCCCCCCCCTCTCCGTGTGTAACGAGTCGATTTTTCAATGCAAGGCCGTATAATGAGTCGATTTTTCAATGCAAGGCCGTGTAATGAGTCGATTTTTCAATGCAAGGCCGTGTAATGAGTCGATTAAACACGGGTCCTCTGTACCATACCCCCTCCCCCCCCCTCTCACCACTCACGTGCTCTACTCACCCCTCTGAAGGCAGCAAACTCGGATCTGAAATGCACAACCACCAGCGGGCTGCGGGCGGGGCAGCAGCGCGAGTAGGCGGCGGCCGTCGCATGCAGCTCCTTCCATAATTTGCACCCCTGATCCCTCTCTCCCTCGTGCTCTATCCCTTGCCCAAATCACCACTCTGAACGCAAGTAACTCAGAGCTGAAGTGCACGGCATCGAGGGGCCGCGGCAGCAGGGCGAGCAGGCACTGCGCCGTGGCGTGCAGCTCCTCTGTCCCGCCTTCCCCCCTTACAACCTTTCCCCCCTTCCCTCTGTCCCCCCTTCCCTCTGTCCCCCCTTCCCTCTATCCCCTCGTTGACTCACCACTCTGAAGGCGATGAATTCGGAGCGGAAGTGCACAGCAACCAGCGGGCGGGGTAGCAGCGCCAGGAGGAGCTGGGCCTGGGCGTGCAGCTGCTGCTGGTAGGGCAGCAGAGGCAGCGCGATGTCGTCCGTCGTGGGGTGGAACTGCACTCGCTCCCACGTCGTCTTGAACCACACTACCACGTCCTTGCCGCTCCTGATAGCATGGGCATGGGGACATGGGGTACAGGCATGCCATGGGCATGTTGATGCTAGACTGAGCATGCATGGAGGGGGAGGGCGACGTCGTCCGTGCTGGGGTGGAACTGCACTCGCTCTCACGTCGTCTAGAACCACACTACCACGTCCTCGGCGCTCATGGGAGCATGGTTGGGGGCATGGCGATGGATAGGTGGCATCTTTGTGCCATGGAGTTCCTGTCTTAAGGCGGGTATGGGTATGGGTATGGGTATGGGTATGGGTATGGGTATGGGTATGGGTATGGGTATGGGTATGGGTATGGGTATGGGGTATGGGGTATGGGTATGGGTATGGGTATGGGGTATGGGTATGGGTATGGGTATGGGTATGGGTATGGGTATGGGTATGGGGTATGGATGTGGGTATGGGTATGGGGTATGGACGTGGGTATGGGTATGGGGTATGGATGTGGGTATGGGTGTGGATATGGATGTGGGGGTATAGATGTGGGTATGGATGTGGGTATGGGGATGTCACAGTAGAGCAGGAGGGAAGAGGCGGAACTGCACTCGCTCCCCCATGGTCTCAAGCTAACCACAGCGCCAAGTGCTTGTGGCGCCTGGTGCTGTGGGCAAGGCCTTGATACAGGCGTGGTCATGCCAATGCAAGCTGTGGATGCGTGCAGGTGTGGCGGAGTGAATGTCGACCCCTTCACATGTGGACTCTATGCTCATCCCTTGCCACATCATCCCTTGCCACGTGTCGGGCATGAGCGCCACGGTGTCGTTCCGAGCAGGCAACTTCACATCCAGAGTGTTCAGGGGCTAACACAGCATGTCATCTCGCATCATGCCATCTCGCATCATGATGCCATCTCGCAGCATGCCATCTCGCATCATGCCATCTCGCATCATGATGCCATCTCGCATCATGATGCCATCTCGCATCATGATGCCATCTTGCATCATGCCATCTCGCATCATGTCATCGCGTATCATGCCATCTCGCATCATGCTGCCATCTCGCATCATGATGCCATCTCACATCGTGTCATCCCGCATCATGCTGCCATCTCGCATCATGATGCCATCTTGCATCGTGTCATCCCGCATCATGCCATCTCGCATCATGAGGCCATCTCGCATCATCATGCCATCTCGCATCATGCCATGTCGCATCATGATGCCATGTCGCATCATGATGCCATCTCGCATCATGTCATCTCGCATCATGCCATCTCGCATCATGCCATCTCGCATCATGCCATCTCGCATCAAGGCATCTCGCATCATGCCATTTCGCATCATGCCATCTACATCATGCCATACCGCACACATACCATGCCATACCGCACACATACCATGCCATACCGCACACATACCATGCCTTCAGCCTGAGCGCCATGATGCCGTCCCTGAAAGGCACCTTCACGTCCTGAGTGTCGGCCTCCTGGCATACGGCTGAAGCATCAACACACCGTGACTCGACTCATGCCATGCCACCACCCTGCCATCCCTTACCACCCCCTGAGCATGAGCTCCATCGTATCGTCCCTAGCGGGAATCTTCACGTCCAGAGTGCTGGGGACCTCTTAAGGTACATAGAGTGTTTCAGACATTCACCCTACCATACCATATCACACAACACCACACCACACCACACCACACCATACCATACCATACCACACCACACCATACCATACCATACCACACCACACCATACCATACCATCCCATACCATACCAAGCACATACCACGCCTTGAGCATGAGCTCCATGGTGTCGTCCCTCGCAGGCATCTTCACGTCCAGAGTGTTGGCCTCCAGAGGCACGTGGCCCATGGCGAAGGGCAGCAGCTGCCCCAGAAACCCAGAGGCTAGCTCTAAAATGGGAGGCACACATGAGCAAGAGGAGGACGGACGGGGAGAGCGAGAGGGACGGCACGTGAGTGTTGGCTTCCAGAGGCACATGCACGACCCACGGCGACGGGCAGAAGCTGCCCCAGGAACTCAGAGGCGAGTGCTGAACGCGGCTGGGAGGCGCAGCGCTGAACGGCTGGGAGGCGCAGCGCGGGCGGGCAGGAGGAGGACGATCTGCTTTGGGGTGCCTCAAGCAAGCACAAGGGGCAGAAGAATGCACTGCAGTGCAAGGCCGTTCACTCAAGGTAGAGCGACTGCACCCACATAATGGCAACAGAAGGGTTGGGGAGCGCAGCGCGGGCGAGCAGGAGGAAGAACTGCCTTGAGGCGCCTCAGCACAAGGCAAGATGCAGAGGAACGCACCGTAGTGGAAGGCCGTGCGCCCCAGGTAGGGCGACTGCACCCATACGAAGCCGACGGAGGGGTTGGGGAGAGCAGCGCGGGCGAGCAGCAGGAAGAACTGCGGGGAGACCCACTCCGAGGTGGCTGACAGCTTGGACAGGTCCCAGTAGGCGCACAGGGGGAGCGAGCGGCCCAGAGACAGGTGGCTGCGACTCGCCTGGTGGGGCGGGGTGCAGCAGGGTGGGATGCGGTACAGGCGAGACAGATGGAGGCCCACTCGGAGGTGGCTGCTAGCTTGGACAGGTCCCAGTAGGCCCATAGGGGAAAGAACGGCCGAGAGACAGGTGGCTGCGGCTCGCCTGGTGGGGCTGAGAATAGGTGTGGCGTGGCACAAACAGGGCGTGGATGGAGGCATCCACCCCTGTTCGTCAGGTCACACGCAGTGCACAAGGACAATCCCATCATGCGCCCTGTGGCGCCCTGTTGCCCTGTGGCGCCCTGTGGCGCCCTGTGGCCCTGTGGCGTCCTGTGGCGCCCTGTGGCCCTGTGGCGCCCTGTGGCGCCCTGTGGCGCCCTGTGGCCCTGTGGCGCGGCGTTGGCCTATCTGCACCAGGCAAGCAGCCTCGATGATGTGGCTTCTGGCGTGGCTCGCCTGCTCCCTGTGACCGCGTGTCCCACTGTCCCACTACCCTATAGCTCTCCATCTCCCCAGATAACCCACCTTTGGCAGCACGAGAATGCGGTTGGACATCTGCGCCAGGCGGGCGGCCTCGATGATGTGGGCGCGTGCGTTGCTGAGCTGCTCCTCTGACATGGCGAACACCAGGTACTTGCGCCGGGGGAAGTCCTGGGGGGGGGGGGCAAGGGGAGAGAAGGGGGGAGAAGCGGAGAGAAGAATGCGGCACAGTGTGAGCCGAGTTCTTGGAGGGACTTGGAGCTGAGCTCCTCTGACATGGCAAACACTAGGGTACTTGCGCTAGGGGATGCCCTGATGGGGGGGGGACGGGGAGCAAGTCCCAGGCAGCATGCAATGACGAAGGGCAAGGGGAAAGAGAAGGAGTAGAGAGAGAGAAGGAGAAGGGAGAGAGGAGTAGAGAGAGAGAAGGAGAAGGGAGAGAGAAGGAGTAGAGAGAGAGAAGGAGAAGGGAGAGAGGAGTAGAAAGAGAGAAGGAGAAGGGAGAGAGGAGAAGAGAGAGAGAGAAGCAGAAGGGAGAGAGAAGGGATAGAGAGAGAAAGAGAAGGCGCGTGCGCTGCTCAGCTGCTCGTCCGATATGGCGAACACCAGGGTCTGGCGCCGAGGGAAGTTCTGGGGGGGGTGGGGGAGAGTCCGCAGTGAGAATGGGAGGTAAGAAAGCGGCACAGTGTGAGCCGAGTTGGTGGGCCTTGGACCTGAGCTCCTCTGACACCAGGTAAAAGCGGCAAGGGAAGTCCTGGGGGGCCGGGGAGCGAGGGGGAAGAGAAAAAGGGAGGAGGACATACGAACGCTTTTGAGTCGACTGCAACATCAGGCGGGGCTATAAGGAGGGCAAGCTATGGCACGCAGGCGAGGCGACCAATGAGAGGAATGATAGGTGATGCTGGACGGATGACGGTGCTCGGAGAAGAGCATGCGAGGCATGGGGCATACAGAGAGCAGGGAGAAGGGCATGTGAGGCATGGGGCACACAGAGAGCAGGGAGAAGGGCATGCGAGGCATGGGGCATACAGAGAGCAGGGAGAAGGGCATGCGAGGCATGGGGCATACAGAGAGCAGGGAGACGGGCATGTGAGGCATGGGGCATACAGAGAGCAGGGAGAAGGGCATGTGAGGCATGGGGCATACAGAGAGCAGGGAGAAGGGCATGTGAGGCATGGGGCATACAGAGAGCAGGGAGAAGGGCATGTGAGGCATGGGGCATACAGAGAGCAGGGAGAAGGGCATGCGAGGCATGGGGCATACAGAGAGCAGGGAGAAGGGCATGCGAGGCATGGGGCATACAGAGAGCAGGGAGAAGGGCATGTGAGGCATGGGGCATACAGAGAGCAGGGAGAAGGGCATGTGAGGCATGGGGCATACAGAGAGCAGGGAGAAGGGCATGCGAGGCATGGGGCATACAGAGAGCAGGGAGAAGGGCATGTGAGGCATGGGGCATACAGAGAGCAGGGAGAAGGGCATGTGAGGCATGGGGCATACAGAGAGCAGGGAGAAGGGCATGCGAGGCATGGGGCATACAGAGAGCAGGGAGAAGGGCATGCGAGGCATGGGGCATACAGAGAGCAGGGAGAAGGGCATGTGAGGCATGGGGCATACAGAGAGCAGGGAGAAGGGCATGTGAGGCATGGGGCATACAGAGAGCAGGGAGAAGGGCATGTGAGGCATGGGGCATACAGAGAGCAGGGAGAAGGGCATGTGAGGCATGGGGCATACAGAGAGCAGGGAGAAGGCATGTGAGGCATGGGCATACAGAGAGCAGGGAGAAGGGCATGTGAGGCATGGGGCATACAGAGAGCAGGGAGAAGGGCATGCGAGGCATGGGGCATACAGAGAGCAGGGAGAAGGGCATGTGAGGCATGGGGCATACAGAGAGCAGGGAGAAGGGCATGTGAGGCATGGGGCATACAGAGAGCAGGGAGAAGGGCATGTGAGGCATGGGGCATACAGAGAGCAGGGAGAAGGGCATGTGAGGCATGGGGCATACAGAGAGCAGGGAGAAGGGCATGTGAGGCATGGGGCATACAGAGAGCAGGGAGAAGGGCATGTGAGGCATGGGGCATACAGAGAGCAGGGAGAAGGGCATGTGAGGCATGGGGCATACAGAGAGCAGGGAGAAGGGCATGTGAGGCATGGGGCATACAGAGAGCAGGGAGAAGGGCATGTGAGGCATGGGGCATACAGAGAGCAGGGAGAAGGGCATGTGAGGCATGGGGCATACAGAGAGCAGGGAGAAGGGCATGTGAGGCATGGGGCATACAGAGAGCAGGGAGAAGGGCATGTGAGGCATGGGGCATACAGAGAGCAGGGAGAAGGGCATGTGAGGCATGGGGCATACAGAGAGCAGGGAGAAGGGCATGCGAGGCATGGGGCATACAGAGAGGGGAGGGCATGGGAGAACGAGAGGGGGGCATGGAGGCATGGGGCATACAGAGAGCAGGGAGAAGGGCATGTGAGGCATGGGGCATACAGAGAGCAGGGAGAAGGGCATGTGAGGCATGGGGCATACAGAGAGCAGGGAGAAGGGCATGTGAGGCATGGGGCATACAGAGAGCAGGGAGAAGGGCATGCGAGGCATGGGGCATACAGAGAGCAGGGAGAAGGGCATGTGAGGCATGGGGCATACAGAGAGCAGGGAGAAGGGCATGTGAGGCATGGGGCATACAGAGAGCAGGGAGAAGGGCATGTGAGGCATGGGGCATACAGAGAGCAGGGAGAAGGGCATGTGAGGCATGGGGCATACAGAGAGCAGGGAGAAGGGCATGCGAGGCATGGGGCATACAGAGAGCAGGGAGAAGGGCATGTGAGGCATGGGGCATACAGAGAGCAGGGAGAAGGGCATGTGAGGCATGGGGCATACAGAGAGCAGGGAGAAGGGCATGTGAGGCATGGGGCATACAGAGAGCAGGGAGAAGGGCATGTGAGGCATGGGGCATACAGAGAGCAGGGAGAAGGGCATGTGAGGCATGGGGCATACAGAGAGCAGGGAGAAGGGCATGTGAGGCATGGGGCATACAGAGAGCAGGGAGAAGGGCATGCGAGGCATGGGGCATACAGAGAGCAGGGAGAAGGGCATGCGAGGCATGGGGCATACAGAGAGCAGGGAGAAGGGCATGTGAGGCATGGGGCATACAGAGAGCAGGGAGAAGGGCATGTGAGGCATGGGGCATACAGAGAGCAGGGAGAAGGGCATGTGAGGCATGGGGCATACAGAGGAGGCAGGGGCATGATCAGAGGCAAGCATGTGAGGCATGGGGCATACAGAGAGCAGGGAGAAGGGCATGTGAGGCATGGGGCATACAGAGAGCAGGGAGAAGGGCATGTGAGGCATGGGGCATACAGAGAGCAGGGAGAAGGGCATGTGAGGCATGGGGCATACAGAGAGCAGGGAGAAGGGCATGTGAGGCATGGGGCATACAGAGAGCAGGGAGAAGGGCATGTGAGGCATGGGGCATACAGAGAGCAGGGAGAAGGGCATGTGAGGCATGGGGCATACAGAGAGCAGGGAGAAGGGCATGTGAGGCACGGGCCAGCACTCCTCAGGCCAGTCACCACATGATGATGTGGCACTGCCACCGCCACTGCCACCGCCACTGCCACCGCCACTGCCACCGCCACTGCCACTGCCACTGCCACTGCCACCGCCACTGCCACCGCCACTGCCACTGCCACTGCCACTGCCACTGCCACTGCCACTGCCACTGCCACTGCCACTGCCACTGCCACTCCTGTTTAGCAGGTCCTCCTCCACCTCCTTCACCCGCGCGCACACGGCGTCAACGCCAGCCGTGATGTTCTCCGTGCGCGTGTGGTTGTCCGCCAGCATCTGCCGCGCGTATTTGCTGCTCGCCAGCCGCTCCAGCACGCCCCGCTTCCACGCCTCCGTGCAGATTTGCCCCACGCCGGCCGACTGCTGCCGCTCCACCTCCTCCTCTGGTAGCGGGTCGGCTTTTAACGGGTCGTTAAGATAGGTCAGGTGTTTTTCGGCTACTGATGTGCGTGGAAGTATCCCCCGAAAGAAGGAGCTCGCTACGGAGCCGAATAAGCGGACTTCGGGATCGCTGCTGCTGCGGTTACTCTGTAACTCCCGTTCTCTCGCTAATCGAGCCCATTGCTGCATCGCGAAACACAGGCTGGCGTCACAGCCTGTAACTCTCGGCGTTGGATCCTCTACAGTGTCATTTCCGCTTAGAGCATAAGCGAATTTCGTATCGAAGTGACCGCGCAGAACGTCCACGCACGAATTCGAGAAGTTTAGCTTCGTCCGTTTCATCTCGACGGACGCCAGCCACGCGCTGTCGCGGTCCTCGATATGAGTGTCACCGACGAATTCGATAACAGCCGCATGAGGCCGACTGAAGGAGACGGGGAATTCCGCGTAAAAGAGAGTCTCGCAGGCGAGAATGACTGCTAAGGCGATGAGTACGGGAGTCGGTATCGCGAAGCACCATGGCGGACGCTTTAATTGCCAATTGAGAAAAGGCTGACTGGTGAGAGGCAGCTCGAACCCCGACGAGGTCGGCGGCTCTTCATCCGCCTCAGAACCCTCTTGAGCTCGCATGGTAGGAAGTTTGGCCTTTGCAGAAACTGAGAGGTACTACCACGGGGAGAGACACTAGAACGGAACTAGAGGGCTCAGTAGACACGAGGTGCATGCTTTTTCTCAGAGGACTTCGATCGAGATTAATCCTCAGACAAACGACTTCTGCAATCCATCTGTACACCACCTACGAATCCTAAACTCACGGTGATGACTGGCGTAGACCGCCGCATACCTGGGCTGACTACTATACACAGTCAGCAAAAGAGCCCGTTTCACATCGTGAGGGCGTGTCCAGCGCGTTCATTTTGCCCCAACACCAGTTTTTGACGTTTTTTTAACATGCCGAAATATTGAAACGCCAAGTGGAAATGTGTTGAGGTACACCTACAGTATCAACAGCAAAACGCACGGACACGTGTCCCGCCCGTGTCTCGACAAATGAGCGGGTGCGCAGCGCGCACATAACAGACTGACACGCGAAAACAGCAGGGTAACCGAATTTCGCCCCCGGAAGAGGCCCCGCCTGGTGCTTCGCATGACTCTCGAAAGCCTGGCGACTGTAAGCGTTCAAATTTTCGCCAGCCGGGATCTGGACGTTTCTGCCGTGTGTATAATTTGGGCTTGATCTCCATTCGGTTCGGAAATGTGCGGCCCACGTCTGTGGGCACACTTGGAGGGTGTCCGCCAAAACTGCCAATTTCTCGTGCGTGTCCGAATGGACACGACATTTCGGGTTACCAGGTTGAAATTTCGTATCTGATATGCAAAGTGAATAGTATAAGAACACGCTGGACACGCCCTGACTACAATGCAGTGTGTGGTGGTGAGCGTTTCACGGTCTGGCGATTGACCATGGAAGTGTGGGTCAGGTCACGTCGGGGTGCGGGGAAGAGAGCAAGGTGAGTTGCGTCGATGACGGGAGAGCTTGGCTGGGTGGAATATACCGGCGATTGAGGTTTGGTGGTGGGTGTGTCAGTCAGGCTCGTCACAACAAACTGAGTCATCCGTTGTATTATCCTCGTCACAAGAGTGAGCTTGATTCAAGGAATGTCCATTTAATTCTCTTCCGCAGATCTCTTAGGTATAGTTGCTGGAGAAATACGATGCTCCATTGCTGAAGAGGCAACTGCAGTAGTACCTCAATCACCGCACCTGAAATGTCTGGCTGTCTGCTGCATGCATGCCCCGTGGGCCACTCTGTTTCCACACCACATGCGTGCCCACACAAACATGTGCCTTTCCTCCATGGCATCAAGGGTGGATGTGGTATTATTCTTTCACACAAGCTGTGTTGTCCCAACCCAACGAAGTGTTGAGTCCTATTCAAATCGAGCTACAAACAAATCTCATGCAATAGTACAGCTACTCGTTTGTGTAGGCCATTAGTGTGTTAGCTATGGTATATGGTAAAGCTCCTTTTTTGCACAAACCTTTATGGTCATAAGTCTGGGGGGATTAGCACTGTACTGATGCCATGGATCGTGAACGTAGACCCGACAAATATATTCGGCACGATCACCAGCGACGGCACCAGCTGCCGCCCTTGAAACAGTGTCAGCGGTTGGAAGTTGGGCCCGCGTTTGATCAGTGGCATGCCCTCAAGGGTCTCCAGCTCCGCACCCCCCCAGAGCGCGGTGAGATTGGCGTAGGAGTAGCGCTTGGTGATGACGTGGAAGGCGAGGATTTGATCGCGCTTGGCGGGGGAGAAGGCGGTGGACATGAAGGAGATGACCTCGGGCGAGAGGGGGAGGAGGATGGTGACGTCAGACAGCGAGGTGAGCGCGGATACTGCAGGGGGGGCGGGGAAGGGGGAGGGGGCGGGGGGAGAAAGGGTGGGGAGGAGAGGTGAGGGAAGTGGGAGAGAGGGGAGGAGGACGGGATGGCCAGAAGAGCCTTGAAGGCATTGGAGCACCGCCTGGAGGAGCATGAGGGGGAGCCCTTGTACAGCGTAGCCTAGACTTGAATAAAATCCGGGGATCACCGATCAGCCATAAGAGATACGGGGCGGCAGAGTGATATGGGGGGGGGGATGTAGCATGGGGGGGAAGAGTGATATGGGGGGATGTAGCGTGGGACGAGAGGAGGGGAAGGAGGGAGCGCAGCGCATGGCATCTCAGGTGGGGATTGTTTGAAGGTTTTTGGCATTTTAGGGCGGAAACGGGGCTCAAGACAGGAGAAACCAGCGCTTGGGGAGGGTGGGAAGGGGTGGGGGGCGCCTGGGTTGTGGAGGTAAGGAAATGCGCTGGGGTGGACAGGGGGAGAGGTGACACGAGCACGGTAGGCGAAGGGGACGGAAGGGGAGGGAAGGGGAGGGGAAAGCGAGGCAACGCGGGGGGAAGGCAATCGCGAGCGGGGTGCATGGGAGGGATCGACCGCGCGACCTAGGGCGGACGAGCGGCGGGAAACTCGCGAGGGAGCGACGAGGGAAACGAGACGCTGACAGCGGCCCGCATCGAGAGCGGCGGGGGGGGGGGGAGGGAAGCGGGACCACGAGGGGAGATGGGGAGAGGTGGCGAGAGAGACGGCGGGAGAGATGGCGGGAGAGGGAGGGCGGGGCGGGAGAGGGGGATGAGCAGTAACAGAGGCGGAGCGTGTGGGCAGGGGGAGGAGGGGGAGGAGGGGGAGCGGGAGGGAAAAAGCGAGTGAGCCAGAGTGTGCGGTCGACGTAAGGGAAGCAACGGAATACGCAGCACGGGGAGAGTTGTAAGGGGCTCGTACAGGGGAGAGGATGAGGAAGGAAGAAGTGTGGAGCTGCGGTGGGGGTGGGGGGGGAAGGGAGGGGCGGGGGCGGGGGCGGGGAGCGAGATGAGATGGGGAAGGGGAACGCACGCCATTGGCTGATGACGTTTTTAACGGTCGCGAACCCCGCTCGCCGGTTGATCTGCCCGATGGCTCGCTGCAGCTCCGCTCTCCGTATTGCCTCCACGCGGCTCGCTTGGAGTAGTAATAGTAGCGCGACTACTGTAGCGAGTACGGATACTGACGGTCGCCATCTTTGTTGCCGGCACGCCATCGAATGAATTAAATGGAGGAGAGAGGCGGGTCTCGAAGGGCGACGGGAGGCCTGACTGAGATTATTAGGGTTGACGGCTTCGTCCTGATTAATCGGTTCGGAGGAGTCGCGTAGATGGTGAGCAGGGTTCGATGACTGGATGCGGAAACCCTAAACGGCAATTCGCTGACGGCGCGTCAACTTCTTTGTCGGCCGTCGAACGCCATTCTGTTTACGTTAGGCTGACAGAGCGCCGCAGATGGAAACTCTAGCGGACGGAAAACTACACGGATGTAGATTGGAACGGATACGTCACTGGCAGCACGATGGCGACCCGTCTGGAACAGCGCTAGGGATGGTAACTAAGAGGACGATGTAAGGAGCGAATCGAGGCGCGCGGGTGACGGTGCGGACATACTTTCCGTACGGCGAGCTTAGGAGCTTAGGGAATGCATTAGGGTTGGTGGCCTGATTTTACAGTTGCTGTATGGTCACGACGAGTCAGCAGACTGGTGGGGGGCGAGGGTAGGTGTCAGAATGCTGCTGCAAGCTAGCCTACCCCTAGGCCCTCCACGATCTCTCCAGGGAAATGTTTGTCAGCCGCAGGGGGAGGGGGGAGGTCGCGGTGGCGTGGGGGTGGGGTCGTGTCGGGGCAGGCCCCTGGGTTCAGGGGAGGTGCGGGGAAGAGTTTGAAAGGGAGGAGGAGCTCCCTTCTCGTGTTGAACCGCTCCGTAACAGCAGGTGGAGCATGGTGGCACAGCCGCACGGTCGCAGCCAAGCACCGACCTGACAAGCTAAATCTTCCAGCCTTGATTTGAGTTGAGGTGTGTACGTTTTTCGGGGGCAGCTTCAAGGTAAATGCAAAGCCACTTTGCTGCCTAGCCTCCAGAACCATGGAGTGCATAGTGGTTTGCGAGTTCCGCAGTCATGTCCCAAAGGGACACGGTGAGTGGGAGGGTGTGAGCTAAAAGGAATGTATTTGTGTATAAATTGTGTCGAGTCCGCACGTGGTGACTGAGAGAGAGTAGTCGGAGGCGGTGCTTTGGTAGTTGTCATACAATCATGTCGATGCCCCATAAAACTGTCACACATTTGTTGGATGCCCGAAGTCATAGGATCATGAAATTGTCAGGCCCATGACGGCTATCCACACGGGCTCTGGTTGTCACCAGATCGTACTGAACCGATGCTTTATAAACTGTAGCTTGAAATGCAGGGGACATGGGGTAACCACCCTGTCTTCCGATGGCCTGGCCGGGAAGGGCACCTGGAGTCACTGTACAGGTTGGCGACGGAGGGTGGGGAGGGGACAGCAGTTGTGGGATTTGCGGGGCAACAACTTCAATTGGCGGTGCGCGAGGCGGGGAGGGGAGTTGTGTTGGGCTCACCGAGCTAGGCTCGGCAGTTTCATGAGAAATGCGTTGAAGGCCTGGCGTGCGGTGAGCTGGTCTTTTGTGGGGTGGGTTTGGGGAGGAGCGAAAATCGTGTCCAGCACGCAGATTCGTGCAGCCTGGTTACCAGCAGGAACGAAGCGAAGCCTCAGCCTGTGGTTGGTTAGTTCTTGTGCGAAGAACCCTTACAACAGTCGCCTACTCATCAGGCCTGTACAGTATCTCCAGGAAATGCCATTGCCAGGGGCATTTGGTGGCGACAGTCAAACCAACAGACGAGATTTTCCAGCTCACGTCCCCCTCGCACAAGAGATTTCACCATCCCACCCACACATGAAGGATGCGCACAAGAGCAAAAATGCACAAGCAGTCCCTTCCCTGCTTTCGCATTATGCTTCTCGTCTAGCGTGAGGGTGTCCCACGCAAGCATCTTCTCGTCACCATGCTTTCTTTTCTTCCCGAAAGACTCCACATTTTCAGGACTTATAGTAAACGATACCCTGTGCTCTTCTGACTGGCCGGACGACCTAAATGCGGGTCTCGGTCTCGGCTCTGTCTGGTTGAACCAGTCGAAGGTGTAAAGACAGCACTCGGGCTTTATTGCGTCAAGCTCCAGACCAGGGCTGTAGATTGGTTTGGGACCAATATTTGGGTGGCTGAGGTCCCCCGAAAACAGCCCTGAAATTTCCGGAAAGCGACCTAACTGAGCCCTGAAGCGTACGGGCTGGGGTCCAAACCAGAACTTAAAATCAGGGCTGCGCCGGAGTCTGTACTTCGCCGGAGAGAAAAAAAAACTTCGTAATCATACATCAAGATAGGCAAGGTGCTGA